GGGCCCAGGGGACAGCGGCGCCGGGGCTACCTCGCCTTACTCCTGCTTCTCCTCGGTGCTCAGTGCGGGTTTATCTCCCCTCACGGTCTCCTCTTTATAGGGAGAGAGCGGCAGCACAAGGAGGAGCTGGGCTCGGGCTTACCTTGAGGCCTTGCAGCCTTTCAGGGTGTTCTTGCCTGCCCGTGTGCCTTTTGCAACACTCGGGCTCCCTAAACGTCGACTGGTCTTAAGTACGCATCTTTCGTTACCGGCCGGGTTGTTTCTTTATAGTGGCTTAGGAAACCCAGGCAATGGTCCTGTTACAGAATCACGGAGTTGTTAGGGCTGGATGGGTTAGGAGATCACTCAGTCCAACCCCTCTGCTAAGGCAGGGTCACCTCGAGCAGGTGACACCAGGACACGTCCAGGTAGGTTTTGAATGTCTTCAGAGAGGGAGACTCCATGACTTTCCTGGGTAGCCTGTTCCAGTGCTCTGCCACCCTCAACATAAAGTTCTTCCTCATGTTGAGGTGGAATTTCTTGTGTTTTAGTTTATGGCCTTTGCTTTTTACCATGTTGCTAGTAAACGTGTTACTGGGTTGGATGCTACCTTGCTGTAACTCTTAAAGGCAGGTGATGTTTTACATACCTAAGTTGGTGGCATGATCTGGGCAGGTAAGTTTATTTTTTCTTATGATGACTACTCCTTTTTAAAGGGCATATTTGTTACTTAATGGTGGTACACCTGTGGTGATCACAATACTAGTTGTTAGGAAGTAATAATACCAGATTTTAAAAGTGATTTATTTATTTTAGTGTAGTGATACTGTTACTCAATACTTTGCTTGTTTTAGAAGGATGAGTTATTATCAGGTATATAAAATACCTCATCCATTGGATCTGGTTCTTGCCTGGTGTAGAGTCTCTGTTTTACCAAGTTTCCTTACTGTTTAAATCAGAGTAGAGGGGCACATGCATATATTTTCTTCAGTCTGTCTAGTGTCTTCTTCACTAGACAGAGTGAATATGTAGGGATGTGCAGCAAGGAATGTAAGATACTTGACAAAACATGAGTCTGGGTGTAGAATTGCTATCTAGTTTGATTCTGTGTTGCCTAAGAAGATGCCTGTGCTGAAGGCCACGATTTATCAATACTGTTTTTTGAAGGACTGTGCTGGCGATTGCTGGAGAAGACTTCTGTATCGTTGCCTCTGACACACGTCTGAGTGAAGGCTACTCCATTCACTCCCGGGACAGCCCCAAATGCTACAAGCTGTAAGTCCAGATCTGCAAGGATTGAAAAAGATGGAAAATATACTGCTGACCATGTCACCCGTCTCCTACTTTAAGCAGAATTCTTAGAAGAAAAAGCACAGTAGCAAAGTAGATTTTGGAGTCGCAGTGACCTTTGCTGTAATGTAGGATGTGATGTAAACATAGCCAGATTTCTTATTTCATGCTCTTGAAGTTAAGAGAGAACAGAACATTTTTCACGTGATACAAACCTTAACATGGAGTTTTTTGTCTGGATAATCAGAAAAATTTTTAACTTAACTGTAGCTAAACTTAATCCTATGATAACTCTGCTTTGTCAGGAGATCTGGTGATGGTACACAAGTGTGCCCACTGCTGCCAGTTGTACTGTACCTCTCTGGTTAATTACCTGGCAATTTAGAGAGGTGTTTGTTTTAAGGGAATTAAACCTATGTGTAGTTCCATAATTGAACTTTCTATGCCCATTTTAGGCTTCATTTGAGTCAGCTGGGTAGCATCTCCTTAGTTTATAGCTACACGTTACTTATGTTCATTTTACTGCAGCAGGTCCTTGCCTTGTAGGCTGTCATCAACTACAGAAACTTCTTTTTGTCTGGGTTATTGTTTCTTTTTCTAAATTGATGACATGAAATCAAAATAGCTTGGTTTCTCCTGGCTAACTTGTTACTACTATGTGTTAGACTCTGATACTGTCCGGATGGAGATTAGTCTGGTGCAGGATACATACTGCACATGATGACTTTGTGTCATTCTAGTGACAGGCTGAGAGAAGACTTTGTTTTAAGATTTTTTCTGAATGACTGCTTTGGGTTGGTCAATGTGTGTTAATGTTTCTAGACTTTTCTAATTCCTGGAATTAAAATTTCAAGTGTGTGTTTCCATGGTTAGTGTTCATAAAGCATTTCAAAACTGAGCAGAGAGCCAAGCTTCTGTAGTGCATCTGCAGCCACATAACTTATGTTTGTGCTGACAGAAGCCACCAAAGCCATAAATGTCACGTAACCATTGTACAAGCTTAATGCAGCCTTCTGGAAAAAAACCTGAAAATACATTTGATGTTTTCATAGTAACCTACTGTATAAGAAATTGCTGTAGTTCATGCTAAGTGTAAAATTGCAACAAAATATTATGTTTTTCAGAACAGAACAAACTGTCATTGGATGCACTGGTTTCCATGGAGACTGCCTTACCCTTACTAAAATTATTGAAGCCAGATTAAAGGTAACTACGAATCTTACTGTATTTAGAAACTTAGATTCTTAATATTATAAATTATAATACCAATAATATGATATCTTTTAAATATAACTTCTGCTGTTTTTTTCCATGTATCATAACTGTTTTGCTAATGAAAGATCTGGCAGGGAAAATCGGCGCTGTGTTCTTATTAAGTGTGACACCACAAATTTATAGAATGGAAGAGCTGGAAAGGATATTGTAAATGAGGCAACACCTATTAATTACAAAAATTTGAAGATATGTTAATGTTTGTCTTGTAAAGAGGCTTTACCTGTTAGACCAGCGTGTTTTCACTTATTGTGCTAGTTAATAATTTTGCTTAGCATCAGATTCTTCTGATGAAGAAGATGATGTAGTGAGGTTACAGAAAATGTAATTCTGGTTGAATGTCAGCTTTAGTGTTTGACTTTCCTCTTGGATGTGCTCTACCACTGGCAGATGTACAAGCATTCCAACAACAAGACCATGACTACAGGGGCTATTGCAGCAATGCTGTCTACAATCCTGTACTCTCGACGTTTCTTTCCCTACTATGTTTACAATATAATTGGTGGACTTGATGAAGAAGGTAAGATTTCAAACAGAAAAAGAAAAAAAGAAAAGGGAGGCTGCATTTCTGTGCATGGATAGCTGTTCCTTTCCATCTCAGTGTAGTGATTGAATAACAAGGTTTGTGTTGCTATTCCTAGCACCTGCCTTTAGGCATTATGGTACTTACACAGATTGAATACGTATTGTGTATCTGGCTTGTTTCCTAGTTTTTGTTATTCACTTGATTTTCCATTTCTGAAGGTCTAAAACTATGTTATAATTATTTGATTGCAAATAAAATCTCTAAAGTGAAATAATAAATACTTTAGACTGGAAAATTTTACACCTGTTTTGCTGGATTTTTAAATTGCATCATTAAAGTAGATGTCACCAGTAAAATTGTGTATGTTTCACTCAGACCTGTGAGTGTGTTAAAGACTATTCAATATGAAGACTTACTCCAGAGATAGGTTTCTACAAACTTATTTCAAAATGTTAACTAACCTGTAATGAAAATCATGACTTCTACTCAGAAGCTGTAGTTTAATGTACAGAACTTACTGGGTTCCTGTCCAGTGATTTGGTTGAGTAGCTGAAATACTGTGTTGTCTGGCTTTGTGAAGGAGCTCAGAGGTGGTCTTGTTTGGATAATTTTTAGCCATTCCATGCAGTTTGTTTTTACCAGTAAGTTATACTGCTCTCCCAGTCTTGTTAAGACATGTCTATGATTTGTGGGATCTGGCAGGGGATTAGTCTGCCCTGCATAATGGTAAATCTCAGATTATAAGGGTGTTGTAGCAGCTGATAAGAATCAGTGTGCAGGTTTGCTGGCAAGGACTAAATTAGAGTCCAGCAAGATTGATTGTTGATTTGGCTGGCTTTCTCAGGGCTGTTCAGCTCGTGTGCTCTGCTGCCAAGGGCACTGGCCAGTTAATTGAATTGTGTGCAGCCTGTCTGCACAGAAGGGCTGGGCTTCCTGGCCAGCAGCTGCATTCTGACTGGCATGTCCTCATCAAGCCCTGGTGCTTCAGAGCTCCAGTGTGTCTGCACCTCTGATGTTGGTGCCAGCCAGTAAACTTTGCACCACCTGCTCTGGCTTCAGAGGGAAGTGTGCAGGAGACCAGAGCATCATCCCTGGTTCTGGGAGTTTGATGCAGAGGCATCCAGGCGTGCTTTCTGGAGGTAATTCAAGAAATGTATCATTCAGGAACGATGTGTGAGCTGCTTGTTTGTGTTAGCCTTGGAACCCCTGGGGCTCTTTGTGCAGCACTACACTCTAGCTCATCTTTCTGCTTTGATTACTCCGCATCAACACTTTTTCTGTGGTAAGTAGTGTAGGAAACATCTGTTGAAGCATGGTTGTGGCTTAAATAAAGAAAATAACCTTGGATATTGTACCAGGCTGCAGCCATAGTGAGTCTTCTGTGAAAGTCATCTGAACATAGTCAGTGTTATTTGGTAAAGGTTTACTGGGATCTGCAGTGTTCCAGATACTGCTTATCCAGAGAGCGGGTTTTGTTGCAGATGCTTGTCAGTATTGGGCAGCTTTCTGAATTACATACTAATTTTTTTTTTTTTTCAGGGAAGGGAGCAGTTTATAGCTTTGATCCAGTGGGCTCCTATGAGAGAGATACTTTCAAAGCAGGTGGATCAGCAAGTGCAATGTTGCAGCCTTTGCTGGATAACCAGGTAAAATAGCTTGTTGGCTTTTGTTTTGTTTTAGTTTTTTTCTTTATCTCAGTAAAAATTTGTGACATTCAAATTAATATAGTTTTACTTCTGGAGAATGCTACTTTTGAGAGAAGTTTTAAATCTATTACCCAGGTAGGACCTGATAATCCATACATTTATAAATTATGTGGCTTTTCTTTCTCAAGAGAAATCGAAGTTTTGCTTTGGGATCTGTTGAGATTTTTAATACATTATTTGTAGTTGCAGTGCCTGTTTAAAAGGCAGAAATGTTTTAACTGGGGAGTTATGTTTATCCTAGAAGTTGTTTGGAGGGGTTTTGGGAGTTTTTTCCTGACCGATAACATAAATATGCCTGTTACTTAGTATGAAATAATAGCAAATTAAGAAGATAGAATTAATACATACATTTTATCATTTAACATACCCTTGTTTAAGTCTTCAGTTTTGTACAACTCAGATACCATTTTTAGTAAGAGTGTCCTTACTTAAAACTGCTGGAAACTTATTTAGCTAAATCTGTCTGAAATACTTGAAGAATATTTTCATATTTAGTTTAAGCTGTTAATAATTGAATGGGAGAAATACCAAAGCGTGTTTTACTCTTTTTAAGTTTTTGACATTGGTGTTGGTATTTAGTCACTTGAACGTGATGCCATCACAGCTTTTGTGCTTAGAAAAGCAGTAAGAATTCTTGATTCTTACCAGATGAGAAAGAAATAGAATATTTCTTTTTTTTTTTTTTTGACTTTATTAACTGAAGGAAATGTATTCTGCAAAAAAAAAGTTGTCATAAAGAATTTTTTATTGCTTATGTGTTTCAGGCAAAACATGGGCCTCTTCCCCTTTTCCTGTTCTGATGGTTAAGTTGATGCTTATATTTATGAGCTAACTTAATGCTGTTTGGTAGGACCAGATATGCTCCAGTATAGACTTAGTTTTGAAGTCTGGGTATCTCAGGGAATATTTGCTTTTAAGAAATGTTCCTAACTACAAGTGACCAGAGAAAAAAAGACTGACATGCAGTTCTGGTACTGCCAAACTTGTGAGAAGTTTATGAAGAATTAGATCAGATCCAAATGTTCATTGTGATCTTGTTCATGCTGAATGAGCAGGAGGAGCTATGCTGGCTGTATATTGGATCTGCTTCTAGGTAATTTTTGTAAGAGTGTCTGTATTGGCAAAGCTCTCAACTGTAAACTATTTGGAGGAATACTTTTTCAGCTAAGGATTTTTAAAATAGACAGGCCATTTCTTTTTAATTCATCTAAATCTTTCATTCTAGTGCAGAGACTGAATCAGTTTTCATAGATGGATAAAATACACTTTTACCTTTTCACAGATTGGCTTCAAGAACATGCAGAATGTGGAGCATGTACCTCTGACCCTGGAAAAGGCTTTGCAGCTGGTTAAGGATGTCTTCATTTCTGCTGCTGAGAGAGATGTGTACACTGGGGATGCACTAAAGATTTGCATTGTCACAAAAGATGGAATTAAAGAGCAAACTGTCCAGTTACGAAAAGACTAATTCAGTTCATGTGTAAGCAAGTTATCTGTATGTACAATTTACCTGTGTTACGAGGACATTTGTCCAATTAAATTTTTTTCAAGAAGTTCAACTACTGTGGTGCTGTCTTTGTTAGAAGTTGTGTTTTTTAGAAACCAGAGCAGTTCGTGGTGAGGAAGCAGCTTAAAGTTACAAGTCAGTTTCCTTCATCTCATCTTAATCTATCAGTCAGGCTAATTCTAGTGGAAGTTTAATCCCCTTCACACAATCCCTTATGCTGAACTATGGGGGGGGTATTAAAATTTAGGCTCACAGACTATTCTGATAATCCCTTCAGTTCAGCCTTGATTTAGTGAGTAAAGATTTGCTCTGTTCATGCTGCTTTCTCTGCACTTCATAGCTTGCTTTTCCTGTCTTCTCTTTTATTTCTCTGATGTGCTGTCCTGACATTTGACTTTATTTATTTGCAAAGACTGTATTGGTCATCTGAAACCAGTATCACGGTGTTACAGGGGAGAATGTTAAATGGAAGCTTTCAGAGTTTAGTCCTGGACTCTGCATCTGGGCTCACTCTGGGTGTTTCGGTTTGGTTAATGCCCAGAATTTGAAGCATTGTCCCCTTTGTGGCTACTGATGGAAAATAATTTAGAATGGAGATACCTGAGTGCTTTTTAATGCCTGGATCCTTTGTTGGGCCTACTGCTGCCTTGGATTCTTGAGAAATTGCATCAAGTGCAGTTTGTTTGATGTGCTGTATCACAGTCCTGGATATTGGCTTCAGTATTAGGACCTTTATAAAATCAGAGCTGCATCATCAAGGGCAAGATAGTTTTCTCTTGTCCAAGAGTCCTTTCACAGTCTGTAGCTCTTTAAAAAAGGACATATAAAACATCTCCTTGCTTCAGGTGACCCACTAGTTCCTTAAAAGAACAATTTTGCTGACATGCTTGACCCTATGGTAACATTGTCTCTTGTTTGGGTGTGACTGGCTGATTTCAGTGCCGCATTTTGGGTGCAGTGCTATAATCCAAGCTCTAGCTGATCTTGACCAGAGATGACAGTCTCAGGCTTTGTAGACAGTTTCAATAGTGGGTAGCATTTTGAACATCAGTAGTGAAACAACCAGTGGTGTTAAACAAACTCTCCCGAGGTGTTTGTGAAGGCACTTGGCCGCTGGGTGCCAGTGTTGGGCCGGGTAAGGAGGGAACAGCTCCTTCCTGGGTGGCTGGGCTGTAAGAAAGGCACGCAGCATCCCAGTCAGAATAACTCTGTGGCTGAAGTCACTTGGGCACACAAGTCAGAACTTCCAGATGCATTCAGGTGTCTTGAGGGGATGTTTAATATTTTCAAAAGTCATCTCAGCTGGACAAGGTTGATTGTATGAATGACTTAAGCTGTATGCTGTCTGTACTGAGAAAATGGCACACAATGCAATAATTCTGAGAACAGAAAGCCTGTGCCTATTTAAAATACAAATCAGCAATACCCAATTAAATCCCTGCTCTGTTACATCTGTAAAATTAAGGTAAAGCACATTAAACTGAACTCTCTTTGGTACCAGATTTATGTTGAATTGCTCAGGCATTTCACAATACGCTGTTGGGGGTTTATGCAAAATTGTTGCAGTCTACTGAAACTAAATAGTGTTTCAGTTGCAAAGAAAAGCAGGAGAGGGTAGCAAATCCACATGCTTTTGGACAGGTCTGTTTGCAATATATAAGTTTTAAACAGTAAACAGCAACAAACAAGGGGAACTGTCTAATTTCTATGTGAACTAATTCAGTGTTCTTGCAGGTTGCCAGACATATAGGAGAGTTGCAGTGATTTAACTCAAAAGTTTTGATAAATTTGTCTGCTCTTACATTTAAGGGTAGATTTTACATCCCAAATAAATGCATGTTGACAGATTTTAGGGATTACTGGCTTTAGTTTGATGTAGATAGGCTTGCCTCTGTAGGTTCTTTCAGTAGAAACACAAGGTAATCAGAATTTTCAGGTGTCATTTGCAGTCTCAGAAAAGATATAAGAGCAGGTACCCGTTTTGACTCTGTGCCATCCTGTTGGTGCATTTGCACCGATGTGAGATGGCCATTTCCTCCTTTTCAGATTTCCCTGCAGAGTACATCTAGCTGAAGAACCATCAGGAAAGGAAGCTTTTGCATAGGACCATTGGACTGAAAATACCAAGTCTCTTTCACCAAGGAATGTAGCACTGTGTCCACTCCCTTTGTGGATGGGTTTGGAACCAGTGAGATGGGGAGGCTTGTTTCCCACATTTTGACTTTCCAGTTATGCCCTGCCCTGCCCTGAGCACTGCTTGTGCTCTGAGTGAGGAGTTGCAGGAGTGACAGGAGATGTGTGAGTACAAAAGTATTCACAGGCTGCTCAGCTAGAAGTTACTTGCTTTATTAATATTAAAACACCACAAATATCAGATGTATATTATGGGTGAAAGGCTTTTTTTTTTTTAATCCACCCTGTTCCCTATCATAGTTTGTGAACATTGTCATCACAGGATGAAAGGTGGGAAGGCCCTGACTGTCTGCAGCTCTCCTTAGTTCCATGCCTGTACTTCCCATGTGTAAATCAGTTTAGTATTCATCTAGCACTGTCTCTGCAGTGTAAATTAACAGTTTATGAAGCATTTTGGGCCTTACTTGGTTACAGAGCTGTCTAGGCAGGCTACAGAGGTGCAGCTAGGCAAAACAATTGTAACAATGCCACTTAGAGGTGCTAGAAGCAAAGAATTGGGTTTGGCAGATCTACTTGGATGGGGATTAGACATCTTTAACACAATTTCATGTAAGAGAAAGGAGAGAGAGAGCAAAAATGTTAATCTTGGAACCTTTTATTAATTTTAAATGTATATACCTTTCAAGAGAGGGTGCGCTGCAGGATTGGAATGACCTTGGAGCGAGCACTGCCAGCTCTGGGCGTGTCCAACGAGAGCAGGAGCAGGCAGCTCCCCTGCACCTGCAGCAGTACTAAGGGCCGCCCCAAGGTGGCAATAGCTGCTTGCTCTCGCAGCTCTCGGCACAATTCCCCCGGGCGGGTGGAAATAGCCATACACACTTCCCAGTGCCCGCTGTAATGCGCTTTGGATACTGTTTGTTGAGGAGAGGGGAGGCTTTATTTTCATCTCAGCCGAATGGCTGTGTACCCCTGCTTGTGTAAGGGACTTTACAAGGTCACAATCGGCCTTAACAACTAGTTTTGTAAAGCAAAGTCGTCTTCGTTATTTTGGACGTGTTTTCAGCAATATTGTTTATGCATCAAATCCATTTTAAGTATGGAAGAGAGGGCCTGTTACTATGGAAAGTGAAAGTGCTTGACAGGACATAAATATTGCATATATGCTTTTAAAAGCTTAGTTCACTGTATCAGTCAAGGATAAGATTAATTTTCTTTTAACTAAAACCAAGACTTTATTGAGGCTGAATCATAAGATGTTGTTATGTAAACCAAATACCAAACTTTCTCTCTCTAGGGTGACATTTTTCCTATTACACTGACATATGCCTGTAACACTACATATGCCTTAGAGTGATGGGAGCCAGAACCAGGCTGCTGACTAGAGAAAGCCATTTAAATGGAAATTCTAAAACACTACATGAAGTACAGGAGTTTAAAGTGGTCCTACTGCATCTTACTCCTTTATATTCTCAAGTATTTATTAACTTAGGGGACAAAGTTGTAATTTGCCACATTTGATAAAGCTTTTTTTTACACTAACCATACATCCTAGAAAGCTGCTTTGGCAATTTCTTTCTGTATATTTAGCAATCAATTCAGGATTTTACAAACCTAAACTTGGGGAAAGGTGGCAGAAGCAAGTGGGGACTGATTAAAGCAGCATTCATGTGAATCCAAGCAGATTAAAATAGTACTGCTTCTCTCCAGTCTAGTTGAAGATAGTTTTTAGGAGTATAAAGTAACTGCTGTCTTATTCAGGGTTCCTTATGGAAAGTCAGGAATCAACTTTTGAGTAGAAGGGGTTTGGAAATGACAGCTTTCAAATTCCTCTTTTCTCTTTCTTTCAGCCTTTGCTTTTGTTTAGTGTGAATGTCCTTTGCTTTTAGGCCATTTGGGGCAGTCATAAACCAGACAATAAGGCACATGGGCCTGAAGTTAACTAAGATTTGTCTCCAGATCTCTCTTCTCAAGCCAAATTCCTTCTGAGAAGGGGTTTTGTCTGTGTGAGTGCAACAGAGTGGGACCAGTTTTATATTCTTTCAACACTAATATGTAGTTAGTTTAATTGTATGGACCATTTTCTCTGTACTTCCTTTTCCAAGCAATTTCAACAAAGTATTCATAATCACAAAAACATGGTTTAGCAGAAAAAACAAACAAAAAATCCTGAGTATCTTTCCTGTTAGGCTGTTCTTGGCCCCTTTCCTAACAGTTGCTGGCAAAGTTCAACTTCACTGTTCATTTCAGAGGCTCAAGTGGGGGTAGGGATGGACTTCACTGCAGCCTACAATAATTAATATTCTTTGGCACAAGACACAGATTAAAGGGCTACTGGCAAGAGAGTAGTCATGGTACCAGAAATTTAACCAGTCCTTTGTGCTTAAGCTCAAAGAACCATAAAAGGAAAGTTAAAAAATAGGATTCTCTTTTGTGCTGAGGAAAAGGAACAAGGTGTTGAAACTTGTGGTTACATGGATACTTACTTCATGGTTGAGGTAAAGCGCTATTGACTTTCCTAAGATTTGGCTTCTCTGAAGCATAGGTATTTCTGCTGCTTAGTTTTCTGCAGCTACACAGGTTTGGTGAACTCCTGGATGGTTCTACAAGAAGTCACCAACGTGCTGATGCCCAGCCAGGTGCGGGTATGTGACACCCACAGTGCCTGGCCCACTGAGGTGGCTTAGCTGAGCAGGATTGCAGCCCCTCTGGACCAATCTGGACCAATGCTCTGTTTAACCAGGCTTTGTGGAACTGGCTGTGATGAGCTTGGCAGTCAGGCTGGGTGGATGATTGAGCTGGTCATTGCTCTTTCAAGGCTGTGCTCCCACCCTGGAGCCCCTGGGTGGCTCAGCTGAGCACCTCCTCTCCATCCTGGGCAGCTGATGGAGGCATAACCAGCTGGAGATACCTGGCAGGTGA